AATCTCAATCTCAATCTCAATCTCAAAGCTCTCATCTCCCTGTATAGAAGATGTAATACACTTCAAAGGCAGAGATTTAAACTGAAAAGAAACATGGTTGCAATTAATGGAGACCATTAAATGAATTGGTAGGTCAAAATAGAATTGAGCCCCTCTTCTATGGCAAAGAAAGAAAACAAAAAAAGAAGTACTATAGATAAGTGGAGAAAAGCTAACAATGATTCTGATGCTAACTCTGAAAAAGGGAAGCAAAGTGAAGCAGCAAGCTGAGATAGCAAAATGGCATCTGCACATCAAATTGCACGCTCCTTACACACTTGCATGTACCAACATAATAACAATAGCACTTAGACTTATATACTGTTTTACAGCCCTCTCTAAGTGGGTTACAGAGTCAGCCTCTTGCCCCCAACAATCTGGGTCCTCATTTTACCCACCTCGGAAGGATGGAAGGCTGAGTCAACCTTGAGCCTGGTGATATTCGAACTGCCAAATGGCAGGCAGCCGGCAGTCAGTAGAAGTAAATTGCAATACTGCACTCTAACCACTGCGCCACCTTGGCTCTTTTAGTGCTACCGGTCATTTAATTAACTGACAAAATAACAGCATGCATATAAGAAGAGACAAACATACCCAGGACACGAATTTGCATCACCGCTCCATGTAAACCAAAGAACATCCATAATGGTTGGGAACAATCCACACATACTTGCATGCCTGCATTTGCTCCATTGTGACTCAAGTGCAGTTCTCCTTCTGAATTCACCATGAATCCCAAGATGTCTCCACTCTGGAGAGGCACCAGCACTCTACAGACTGCCCAGAACTCTTTTCGATCAACTAAAGACTCTGGGTTATAAGGAAGGTCACTGGGTCTCAGGGTGCTAGGATCACAAGTGGTTACCCCATATGATAGTGTCCCAGTACGTGAAGTGTTGGATTTATTGATTTTGACAAATATAGTCTCACTGATTCTAAGCGATCTGCTGGTAAAAACTAAAGTTCTCTCATCTCGAGCATGGTCCAGACGAGCCACAGTCTGGTCATCCAGAATTTTAATATGGGCTCCCCTGAGCTGATGGAAACGGAGATCGCTTTCAAGTTGAGATGGGAGGAGGTGGGAATGCTGAGAATTGAGGGAATTCTGTGGAATAGGACACATGGCAGTCATGACTTGGAAATTGTCCTCCTGCAAGTTGAGATCACAAAGGCTTACAGATAGACGGGTGTCCTCAGTCTCTCTGCGCAATGAGGGTCGGCGGATAGCTGTGAAGGATCTTGGACGGAGGCAATCAGGAGGAATAATTTCACTATCTGCAATTAAGAGAAGGAAAAGATAAGCTAAGGTGAGGAAAGTATTTCAGTTTTGTTATCAGTTGTTCAAAAACGGAATGCAATATCTTGCTTTCTTTTAATGCCACAACACATAAAATAATTTTGGTCACTCTTCTTCTGTTCTTCTCAAACACCAAATTGCTGAAATAGGGAACAACATTGGGCAAGAATAAGTAGGCTCCTGTGTGAAACCTCTTAGAAGATTGCTGCACAGTCCTGAAAGCTATGCTTTGAATTTGTTCTTAGAACCAGTTTCACTGATAGGGTGACAAGAATATTTGAGTACATAGTTGGATTTTTAAAAGTTTTTAAGAAAAGGAGGAGATGTCTTAATCCCAATAGCATAGAAAATGCAGATTCAGGTCATATTTTATTTGGTTTATTTATGGCATTTATCATCACTTCAATCCATTTATTTATTTATTATTCAACTTATATGCCGCCCATTTTTTTATGCTTACAATAATTAAAAACAATGTTAAAACACTAAATAGTGACATTAAATTAGTTAAAAAATGACAAAAATGAAATAAATTGGAGCAAGATCAATCCATTAATAGAGTCCTACTATTTATAGATAATAATATAAATAAAGCAATTGTAATAAATATGTTAAATAAATAAATAAAAGACTTTCATGGTACAATTTGTTCATTCAATCAATCTTTCTGGAAGAGTCAGTTTTTACAAAGAAATGTAGAAGTAACCTTGGAGAAGGTATAAGAGAGCTGATAAGGAAGGAATCAGTCATTACGGCAGAACCTAGACAAGGGATTAAATAGTTCAGAGATACAAGGAAGCATGAAAAAAATAGCATCTCTTGATTTTGTTCAGTATAAGAGAAAATGCTGCTACCCCACCCTACAATAAACATTCAAGATGCTGCTACTATACCCTACAGCAATAAAATAACATTCTTGGAATCCCTGTAGTGGCTTCTTGACCTGGTCAATTTTAAAGGGCTGTCAGGCCTTTACCTATTTTAAGCAATATTTTCTATGCCTGTTTTGTTCTTACCCTTCCCACTCACAGAGTGGAAAGATTGGAGTGTAAGGCATTACAAGAGAGTAAGCAGGCAACAATGGGGAATTCACATCTAAAGAAATGCACTGGCTCTGGTTTTAACCTAACATGCTTGGGTCCACAAGTGATGCATTTATTTTTATGTGTATACCTGCTTATTCTCTTCTAAACCCTTATACTCCAATGAAGGTAAATGCAAATTGTTAAATATCCAGACTATTCTATTCTTTCCTAAAGGGCCAGCAACAGTCTATGATGCGCCCTGATTGGCTGGGCAGCATAGCCTGTTGCTAACCAGCCAGTGTGTCCTGATTGGCCAAGGTACTGCATCAGCAGTTGCTGTGCAGTACTCGGCCCCTGATTGGTCCTTACTTGTTTCAGTCCTAGTATAAATACCCTGGCGCGTGTTTGCCTATTTTGAATCGCTGTCATCTTCTGTTACAATAAAGAACT